AAGGGGGGGGGGGGGGGGGCAAGGCCCCCAAAGGATTTTGTTTTATTTGGGGGGCCCTTTTCTTAAGGGGTCCAGGTTAGGGATTAAAGGAAATTTTTTTAGGCCCCCCCCCCCCCCCCCCTTCCGCCCTTTTTGGGCCATCCCGTGGAGGTGAGGTAAACTTCTCCACACACACGAGGTGGTGGGGCAAGGGGGGGCAACCCTCGCGTCTCCACGTCTGACGACAGGAGCCCCACGGCATTCAAAGTGCAAGGCCCAGTGCGCGTGGGTGAGCGGTGTGTGTGTGTGTGGGGGGGGGGGGGGCACGTCACTGGACCCAATGGACGAAAGTGCGAGTGATAGGTGTAGCCAGAGGCTGACGTGGCAGCTACGGATACAGTGAGATGGGTCACGTCACTGGACCCAGTGGACGAAAGTGCGAGTGATAGGTAGCGAGAGGCTGACGCGGCAGCTACGGATACAGTGAGATGAACATCCAAGAGAGGGGGACATTGAGGAAGGAAATACGTGCCGTTCTCGAGTGCTGCTTGCGTAACGCCTTCAGCATCTACGGCGTCTCTCCCACGGGTCGCCCGCAGGGTGCGCCGGCAGTTCGGCGGCGAGGCAGAGGTGGCGGAGCGAGTGCAGCAGCTCATGCCTACAAGGAGAAGCCTCTGCAACGGCTTAGGGGAAGCTCCGCGCTCGAGATGGATGAGGGGCGCGCGAGTTGTGCTTGCCGGGGCAGGCAGGGCCGCCCCTGCGCGAGGGCCGCAAAGGCGAGTGTGGCGTCGGGCGCCAGCTGCTGTTGCGGCCGTGGCTCCAGCTTCTGCGGTGGCGTCGAGCGGAGAGGAGACGGCTCTCCGCCCGCCATCTCCGTCCGCCGCTCCAAAGCCAAGTCCGAAGCCAGGTTGGACATGCTGGAGCCGCTGCCGTTGGCGTCGTCGCCCGGCTGCTCCACAAACAACCCCTGCGCCGGATATCCATGTGGCTGCTGCTCGAGGTAGTGCTGGCCGGCCGATTTCGCCGCTGGGACAACTTGCTCTTGCGGAGAGGCCGCAGGCATGCCGCCGATCCCGCAGCTGCCCGCCCCGCCCATGCCACAGCCGCCTATGCCCAAGCCACCCATGCCGCCGCCGCCCATGCCGCCGCCGCCCATGCCGCCGCCCATGCCGCCGCCGCCCATGCCGCCAATGCCGCTGCTGCACGAGCCGCCGCCCGTTGCGCTGGGCGCGGCCGGCGCTGGCTGAGAGCTTGCGGAGATCAAGTCGAATTGCTGGCTGCCCACGTTGCCGATCCCGTTGCCGCTGCCCATGCCGCCACCCTGCGGGTTGCCGCTAACCCATCCCGTTGGCGACGCTTCTCCGCTGCCGCCTGGGCTAGAGTGCGTCGTGGCTGCGAGGCAACCAAGCTCAGCGAAAGAAGCCATTGAAAACCGATCGCGACGACGTTTGTCGTGCCTTTCGTGTAGCCTTTGGTGGCGGAGAGGGCGAGATCGTTGATTGTGGGTCCGCGAATTCTTTTCATTTTTCTCTCTCTCGAGGTTCTCGAGGTGTGTGTGTGTGTGTGTGTGTGTGTGTGTGTGTGTGTGTGTGTGTGTGTGTGTGTGTGTGTGTGTGTGTGTGTGTGTGTGTGTGTGTGGCGAAAAACTCGTCTCGCCACACGCCAAGGGCTTATGCTCTGGCGAGACGTGAGGCGCATGCGCAGGAGGGGAGGGAGGGGGCATGTGTAACGACGCTGCTAGAGATGCCTTTCGGGGCCCAGAGACAAAACTTCTGATGCCATGCGTGACCTAGTAGTGTCCCCAGCTATGGGCGTGTCCACGTTGGAGCCAGGTGTGGTGTGGGCGCGAGAATAGCTCCGCCGTTCATGGAGGCAACCGATGCGAGTCGACTGGTGTGTGTCGTCGTGGTTTCGTATCAAGAATACTCACGCACTCACTCACTTTTGTCCGCGCTCGAGGCGACGCGCGATGAGTGCGAGCGGTGCGGTCTCAGCCCCTCCTCTCCATCGCCTCCTCACAGCCCCGCCCGGCCCTCCGACGCCGCCGACCTGGCGGGGAGGGAGGCAGGAACAGCGCGGCGAGCCGCTGCTCGGGTGCGTCCCTGTGCGCACTGCGCGGTCTGGTGGGTGGGCCGGGGCGCGCAGCGAAACTCAGGCGCGCCCGGTACGAGTATTCTTTACTACCGCGGCTCGCGCGCGAGAGAAAGAAGGAACGAGTGCGGAGTGGCACCGATGGACATCCACAACAACTACCTAGAGTGGCGTGGTGCCGGGGCACACATACGGATCGCACACATACGTGCGTGCGCACCCACATACGAGTCGACTCCACAAGTCACTACCAACGTACAGCAACGAATCGTACATTGCATCATCTGCGAGGGGGCTCTATGTAGAGAGGCGCGCAAAAGTCCCCACCGCCCCGCTCGCTCGCGCACGTGCGCCCGCCGCTCTCGACTTGCGCCAGCCTCGATGCTACGCCGGCTCAAACGCGAACTTGACAAACTTGTTGGCGTGGCCTTGCTTCATGCCCACGCTCTCCGCCACCGTGGCGCGCTCCGCCGCGTCCATCGTCCGCAAGTAGCGGAGGTCATCATAGCCCTGCTCCTCGAACGCCGCCGCGTACCGGCCCAGCCCGACCCCCTCGAGAGCCTGCACCACCGCCGGCATGCCGAGGGGCGGGAGGGGCTCTGTCGCCGGCATGCCGAGGGGCGGAAGCGGCTCGGTCGCCGGGCCGCCCTGGCGCGGCGCGGCGCGCGACGCACACCACGCCAGCAGCGCCGCGCACACCGCGCCGTCCTCGTCCGCCAAGTTGGAGGCGGGCTCCCAGGAGGGGGCATAGCAACCCTTCCACGCGACGAGGTAGTCGACGCCGCCGCTCGGCCGGCGCCGCTCCGAGAGGATGCGGTCCACCTCGAACTCGGCCGCAGAGGCGGCGGCGGCGGTGGAGGAGGCGGCGGAGTGGGAGGCGGCGGCAGAGGTGGAAGTGGCGGCACCGCCCGCGCCGATCGCGGTCTCGACCTTCTGCCGCTTGCGGGGCGCGGTGCTGGCCTGCGGCGCTGATCTGGCTGCAGACCTGGCCGCCAGCTCCGCTTTGCCCTCTGCCGAGCGCGCGTAGCGGAGCGCCGCCTCCTCCGCGGTGGCGTAGCGGCCGAGAACGACGTTCTTGCCCTTGCGGTACACCTGGGCATAGTAGGGCGTGGCACCGTTGTGCAACTTGCAAACGCACTTGAAGCCGGAGTTGCTCCGCTCGCTGGTGATGAGCTCGACGCCATCAAAGAGCACCGGCGGCGCGGCACTGACCGCCAAGTCGGCTTTGGCCTCCGGCGTGCGCGCGTAGCAACGCGCCGCCTCCTCTGCCGTGGCGAAGTGGCCGAGGACGACCTGATCGCCGTTGCGGTACACGTGGGCGGAGTAGGGCGTGGCACCGCTGCCCAACTTGTACACGCCCTTGAAGCCCGTCTTGTTCGTTGCGCTTGTGATCAGCTGCACGGCGCTCGACTGCTTCGACGCAGCGGCGGAGGAGGAGGGCGGCACGGCAGGGAGTGGCGCGGGGCGCTTGGCGGGGCGAGGCGTCGGCGGAGCGTTCCTTGCCGCCAAGTCGGCGATGCCCTCTGGTGTTGCAGCGTAGACTCGCGCCCCCTCCTCCGCGGTGGCATAGCGGCCGAGATGGACGGTGGTGCCTCCGCGCTGCACCAAGACTCGGTAGGGCGTGGCACCGTTGCCCGAGTTGCTCACGCCCTTGAGGCCCGTGCTGCTCCGCTCGCTCCTGATCAGCTCGCCGCTGCTGAGCTCGGAGTTGGAGGGGAGCTGCGGCTGCGGCGGCGGTGGCGGCGCATCCCTTGCCGCCAGGTCGGCGATGCCCTCCGGCGTCGCCGCGTAGGCCCGCGCCCCCTCCTCTGCGGTGGAGTAGTAGCCGAGAGTGACCGTGGTGCCCTTGCGCCAAATTTGGACACAGTAGGGCGTGGCACCGCCACTCAATTTGTACACGCACTTGAAGCCCGAATTGCTCCGCTCGCTCCTGATCAGCTCGCTGCTGCTGAGCTCGGAGTTGGAGGGGAGCTGCGGCTGCGGCGGCTGCGGCGGCGGTGGCGGCGCATCCCTTGCTGCCAGGTCAGCAATGCCCTCTGGTGTTGCAGCGTAGACTCGCGCCCCCTCCTCCGCGGTGGCATAGCGGCCGAGATGGACGGTGGTGCCTCCGCGCTGCACCGAGACTCGGTAGGGCGTGGCACCGTTGCCCGAGTTGCTCACGCCCTTGAGGCCCGTGCTGCTCCGCTCGCTCCTGATCAGCTCGCCGCTGCTGAGCTCGGAGTTGGAGGGGAGCGGCGGCTGCGGCGGCGGCGGCGCATCCCTTGCTGCCAGGTCGGCGATGCCCTCTGGCGTGGCCGCGTAGACTCGCGCCGCCTCGTCTACGGTGGCGTAGTAGCCGAGACTGACGGTGGTGCCTCCGCGCTGCACCAAGACTCGGTAGGGCGTGGCACTGCTGCTCACTTTGCTCACGCCCTTGAAGCCCGTGCTGCTCCGCTCGCTCTTGATCAGCTCGCTGCTGCTGAGCTCGGAGTTGGAGGGGAGCGGCGGCGGTGGCGGCGCATCCCTTGCCGCCAGGTCGGCGATGCCCTCCGGCGTCGCCGCGTAGGCCCGCGCCCCCTCCTCCGCCGTGGCGTAGCGGCCGAGAACAACGCTGGTGCCCTTGCGGGTCACTTGGACACAGTAGGGCGTGGCTCCGCTGCTCACTTTGCTCACGCCCTTGAAGCCCGAATTGCTCCGCTCGCTCTTGATCAGCTCGCTGCTGCTGAGCTCGGAGTTGAGCTGCGGTTCCCCTGGATCTGGCGCCGTCGCATTCGCCGGCTCCGCCACTGCCAACTCCACACCCTTCTCCAGCCCGGCCGGCGGCGGCCGCGCTGCTTCTGTCGCCTCCGCCACCTCTGCGCCCCCCGCCGCCGCCCCGCCCGCACCTGGTGGCGCTGCGAGGCCGCAGATGCCGAGGTCCCACTTGATGATCACTGAGGTCCCCGCTTTGATCTTAGTGAAGCGGGACGTGTGCTCGCTGCACGCACACGGCATGGGCAGCTTGAGGACGGTCCCGGCGGGGTAGTCGGCGGGGAGCGTAAGGCGCAGCTTGGCGATCTGCGGCGCGTTCGCGTCCTCGCGGTCGTACGCACGCTCCCAAGGCAGGTCGCGCGGGAGCAGCACGAAATCCGCCATCCAGATTTGGTCCAGAGAGTGAGTCGGCGGCAGGAATTTCTTTTTCAGGGTGCGAGCCCTGGAGGCCCTGGGGACGGTTCACAGAGAAGACGAGACGTTCATTAGAAGCCGTCGTTGCGAAATTATGTCCAATGCTCTTCCAATGCTGGCGGGGGCCTCCGCATCCTCCTCCGCCAACGAGCAAAATTTTTGTCCATGCTAAGCGATTCCTATGTGCATAGAGGGCGCTCGAAAGCGGCTGGCCGGCACGCCCGCCGCCGCCCGCCGCCGCCCGCCGCTTTCTTAGATTTCCCCAATGAACCCAGGCGGAACGAGGCCCAGATACATGGATCAGCCACGAGTCCCGAGATGGCGGCGCCTGACCACGACCCACGGCTTGTGCGTGGGGCGATCTCTTCACGGCCGGCGCGCCAATCTTGGTGACGCGGCGCCACTCCCACGCGACAGCCGCGTGCGTGCCCATCGAGGTGCGGGCCACCTGCGGCATGGATTCGCGAACGCTCACGCTCCCTCCTCCGCTTCGTGGCAGGCGGGCTACGTGCAGCCTGGCACGGCCCTACTGATGATTGCGGGCGAGGAGGGTGTCGAGGTTGTCTCATGCCCCCGCTCAACCTCGGGCCGCAGCAGCTCGACGATAGTGGCCATCGCCGCCGGCGCTGCCGTCGCCTTTCTCCTTTTCACGGCGCTCTGCTGCGCGGAGTTGGTCGCACGGGGCTTCTTCGGAGCGCGGGCTCAGCTGCACTGCACGCACTCGAACAAGCGTTTGCCTCCGCTCTATCTTCCACGGACGCGCGCAACGAGAGGCCATCCAAGGCCGCCTATACTCTGCCGACTCGCGCCCCCCTTCGCCCCGCCGTGGCTCAAAGCTCAAAGGGTGACACGCAGCAGCAGCCTGCGGCTGGGGCGGCGGCCGCTCTGCCGCCGTCTGGCGACCGGACATCGTCGGAGGCTTCCGCCGAGCCCAGTGCGGAGCTCCCGGTGTCGCCGTCGATCAATTTTCGCTTCAGTGCGATTGGCGTGCTGCAAATGAGAGAGGACTTGAGCCCGAGACAAGTGTGTCACTTCCGAAGTGTGTGTACGCTGTACCGAGACACGGTCTCACGGTGTCGCGTGTCGGGGTGAGACTCAGAGCTGAAGAGTGAAGTCCTGAGAGGGGAGAGCGGTGCCTTAAGGGGGCACACGTATTCGTAGAGAGAGAATGTAGGCAGATGGAATGAAAAAATATGAGAGGAGAAAGCGCGCCACCTCGCCCACCACTGGTCCTCTTTTCGAGCTGGTCACGCTGCCTTTTGCGCCCCCTGCCAGTCCCGGATCATCCGGCGCAGCATGTGGTTCGGGACCAGAATGCTGTGCTCGAGCTCGCCGCCCGTAAGAGGGCTGGTCGACTTGCTCGCGAGCCAGCGCTCGATCGCCGTCCGCTCGTAAGCATGCCCATCCGCCGCCATCACCGGGTCGCTCATCACCTCCGTCGTGATTGGGCAGACGAAGTCGTCCGGCGGCTCCTCCTCTCCCTCGGGTGGCGCCTCCGCCGCCGGTGACGAAACGCCCTGCCGCTCGGCGACTCGCGCCTGATCCCCCGGCGCACGCGTCGCCCCGACCTCCAGCCTCGCGCTCTCCTCGAGCGCCGCCGCCAACTCCGCCTCCTCTCCAACCGCCGCTGCCTCATCCTCGGGCTCGCGCGACGGCCCAGCGCCGCCCCCGCCGCCCTTCCCCTTCTTCTTCTTCTTCTTGCCCTTCTTGCGCTCCCTCGCGCGCTCCCCCTCCTCCTTCTCCTTCTCCTCCTCCGCCAGCAGCGCCTCGGCATGCCGCGCCGCGGTCGCCTCTGCCGCCGCTCTCTCCGCCTCCCTCGCCTCCGCCGCCTCCGCCGCCGCCTCCGCCGCCGCATGCTCCTCGATGACGCGCACGCACTCGGAGCGGCCCTTTAGATTGGCCCACTGCAGCGCTGTCTTGCCGTCAACACTAGGCGCCGCGTCTGCGCCCGCCTGCAGCAAGCGCCGCACGACGGCAGCCTGGCCGTCGAAGGTGGCAACAATCAGCGCGGTCCAGCCGTCGCTGCCCCGCTTGTTGATCTCCGCCCCGTGCTGCATCAGCAGCTCGACCACCTGCTCGTGGCCGTTGGTGGCGGCGCTCATCAGCGCGGTCCAGCCGTCGCTGCCCTGCAAGTCAACCTCTGCGCCGTGCCGAAGCAGCAGCTCGACCACCCGCTCGTGGCCGTAGTTAGCGGCGCTCATCAGCGCGGTCTCACCTTCGCTGTCCTGCAGGTCGATCTCCACCCCGCGCTGAAGCAGCAAATCGACCACCCGCTCGTGGCCGTATCTAGCGGCGCTCATCAGCGCGGTGCGGCCGACGCTGTTCTGCAAGTCGACCTCCGCGCCTCTCCGCAGCAGCAGCTCGATCACCCGCTCGTGGCCGTTGTGGGCGGCGCACATCAGCGCGGCGCTGCCGTTGCTGCTCTGCAGGTTGATCTCCGCGCCGCGCTGCAGCAGCAAGTCGACCACCCGCTCGTGGCCGTTGTGGGCGGTGACCGTCAGTGCGGTGTCGCCGACGCTGTTCTGCAAGTTGGTGTTCGCCCCGCGCTGCAGCAGCAGCTCGACCGCCCGCTCGTGGCCGTTGTGGGCGGCGCACATCAGCGCGGTCCAGCCGCCGCTGTTCTGCAGGTTGAACTCAGCGCCACGCTGGAGCAGCAGCTCGACCACCCGCTCGTGGCCATTGAGGGCGGCGTGAATCAGCGCGGTTTCGCCGACGCTGTTCTGCAGGTTGATCTCCGCGCCGCGCTGCAGCAGCAGCTCGACCGCCCGCTCGTGGCCCCCCTGGGCGGCAAACATCAGCACGGTGATGCCGCTCACATTGCTAACTCCGCCAGTCGCGTTGACCCGCCCGCCGCTGTCGAGCCACAACAGCAGCGCCGCCTCGTTGCCTCGCGCAGCCGCCTGCATGACCTCTTTGGTAAGGCTGTCCAGGGAAGAAGCCGCGGCACTCGCTCCCACCGCCGCCTCGACCGAGGAAGCGCCGCCCGCGCCGCTCGCCGCCTCGCGCCGGCTCGCAGTCACCATCGCGACGTGCTGCCGGAAGGCCTCGACGCACTCGTCGTGGCTCTGCTCCCTGGCCAGCTGGAGGGCGGACCGGCCGTCAGCAGCGCGCAGCTTTGTATCCGCACCTGCCCGCAGCAGGAGGCGCACGGTGGCGTGGTGGCCTTGGCCAGCGGCGCGCATCAGCGCGGTGTCGCCGATGCTGTCCTGCAGGTTGACATCCGCGCCATGCCGAATCAGCAGCTCGACCACCCGCTCGTGGCCGTAGCGGGCGGCGGTCATCAGCGCGGTGCTGCCGTCGCTGCTCTGCAAGTCGATCTCCGTGCCGCGCTCAACCAGCAGCAGCTCGACCACCCGCTCGTGGCCGTCCTGGGCGGCGAGCATCAGCGCGGTGGCGCCGTCGCTCTTCTGCAGGTTGACGTCCGCGCTGCGCTGAAGCAGCAGCTCGACCACCCGCTCGTGGCCGTCCTGGGCGGCGAGCATCAGCGCGGTGAAGCCGTCGCTCTTCTGCAGGTTGACCTCCGCGCCGCGCCGAATCAGCAGCTCGACCACCCGCAGGTGGCCGTAGTGGGCAGCGCCCATCAGCGCGGTGAAGCCGGTGCTCTTCTGCAGGTTGACCTCCGCGCCACGCTGGAGCAGCAGCTCGACCACCCGCTCGTGGCCGCAGTTGGCGGCAAGCATCAGCGCGGTGCCGCCATTGCTGTTCTGCATGTCGACCTCCGCGCCGCGCTGAAGCAGCAGCTCGACCACCCGCTCGTGGCCCTCCTGGGCGGCGAGCATCGGCGCGGTGACGCCGCTCACATCGCCCATCCGGCAAGTCGCATTGACCCGCCCGCCGCTGTCGAGCCACGCCAGCAGCTTCGCCTCGTCGCCTCGCCCGGCCGCTGTCCACACCGCTTGGGGAAGGCTGTTGATCTCCATGGTCGAAAAAGAATTCTTGGTCCGGAAGAATTTCACAAAGCCTCCCTCCCACAACCTGCCGCCGCGCCGCCAGCCGCGGAGCCGGCGCCCAAGACGTACGCCGCCGCAGCCGCATCGCAGCCGCAGGGTGCCACCGCGGGTGGCCAGCCCGCCGCGCCTGCGGGCCCGGCCGCCGCCGCGCGCGTGCCGCCGCCGCCCAGCGGCGGCGGAGTGCGCGGCTGCTCCTTCACTGTCCCTAACCCGGGCAGGAAGCGTGGGCAGCAGCAGCGCGGCAAGGGCCGCGGTGCCAGGGGCCGTGCCGATGCTGGACCCCGTCTCGTTGACAAGAACGCGCTGTCCGCGCGCGGCAGCGGGCCCTCGCGCCAGTCGCGCTCGCCGTCGCCGGACTCTCCGCCCGCCAAGCGGGCCGCCTCCGCTGACTCGTCCGGCTATGAAACCGATACGCCAGACGAGGTGCAGCAGGAGGCGGTCCGCAGGGTATGCGGCGCGCTCGGCATGAGGGAGCAGTTCGAGGCGGCGATGGGGGCGGGCGAGCTGCTCGAGATGCTCGAGAGCTTGCCGCGAGGGGCGGTCGAGGCCTCTGTCCGACAGATGCGGGGTTACAACCGCACGGGCGAGTGGCCAGAGCCCATTCTCACCAGCCCTGCCCCGCAGCGCGGCCGCTCGCCAAGCCCCGTCGATGAGTGGTCAGATGGTTAGTGCCCGAGAGCGAGGGGTCCGGGGGGGAGCACAAACATAGGACGCCCAGCCTTGCCCTCGTGCCGCCGAGTGCATATCCTATGCGAGAGAGATCCCCTGTGCCCTGTGCCCAGCCCTCTCCGCGCGGCGATGCGCCCTCCCCCCTCGCTTTTGCAAAATCCTGCAAAGGTGGGGACGTGTCTGTCCTCGACCCAGCCCTAGCTTGGGATGTCCGTTGTATTTATTTATTTATTTACTGGGCACGGGACTGGCGCGCACTGGCACTAACACAGGTACACCATGTGTCGAAAAAGAATTTTCGAGAGCTCACCGAAAGACAATCCATGGTCGCTGTTTGGCTGGATGCGACAATGATTTTTTATTCGCGCCTTCGCCTTCGCTGTTAATAACACCAATGCTCCCTTGTCGCAGTCACACACACACACACACACACACACACACACACACACACACACACACACACACACACACACACACACACACACACACACACACATGTGCATGCACATGTATGTATGTATGTAGGAAGGGGAAGAACAGTCAGGCTCGGACTGGACACCGACGCGGTATGGGTGGACGCTAGACAGATGATGACGCGTGTGTGACGACACGCACGAGCGACACACAGACACAAACAAGCTCACAAGACACACAGCCAGCGGGCTGCCACACATCCTGAGTGGGCGTACACATCACTCAGGCCACGCCCCCCCTGTCGCCCCCCCCAGCACTCCAAGGTGCCAAGAGACAAACAACAGCACAACAACACAGACAGGCGACAGGGCGAACGTGTGAGACTAGAGCAGGCTTGCTCCGCCTCTAGCAATCTCGTCGCCAGCCGCAAGGCATGGACGAGACCGTGTGTGGGGTCTTGTGAGGTGTCTATGGACGCCCTCCTGATGCGCAAGGGGCCCATAGGGGTGACGCGGAGGGAGGCGCTGTTAGCGGCGGAGGAGGCGGAGGCGGCCGCGCGGGCGGCGGAGAAGGCGGCGCGCGCGCGGGCGGCGGAGGGGGGGAAGGGCGGCGGCCGCGGGCGGCAGTCCCGGGAGGCACGCCGGCGGAAGGGCTCGTCTTCGCGGGGCGGGGTGCGCACTGCGCGCCGCGAGGATGAGGAGCCTGAGCCAGGGGAGGGTTGGGAAGGGGGGGCGAGGCCGGAGGAGTATGACGGCCTCTTCGACGGCCCATAAGGGGCCGTTGTCTGCTGTGCCTTTTGTGGTGCCAGTCCGTGCCAGTCTGCTGTGAGAGGGACATGCACATGTACATGTACATGTGCATGCAACATGTGCATGCAGAGGCCGCCCCGACCGACGCGGAGTCAGAGCTGACCGGCCGAGCGCTTTTTGTGAACGGCGCCTCAAAAAAGAATTCACGAAGACCACACATTCAACGACACATCCCAGCTCAGCGAATGGATCCATTGAAAACCGATCCGGTGTGAACGGCGCCTCAAAAAAGAATTCGACACCGCACCCCTGACCAACGCTGATCAACGACACCCTCACCCGCTCCTGGCCGGAAGGAGCACGCCGAGTCGAAGCGCTGACAGCATAACACAATCACATATGCTCGCCGCAGCCGCCGCCAGTGCGTCCGCCGTCTGTGCCGCCGCCGTCCCCTCTATCAGCGGTCCGAGTGGGCTCGGCCCGGCGCCCGCGTCGTTTGATCTCGTCAGTCGAGTCTACGTTCCGTACGGCCTGAGCGCCACCGACCTGGCGTTCGGGATGGGCGCTGCGGAGCAGATCATTTACGACGCGACGGAGCGGTACGCGTATGCGGTATCCGAGCAAGGCGTGCTCAATGTCGTCGACTACGCCGACGCCGCGGCGCCGGTGGTCGTCACCTCTCTTGCCGTGGACCTGCGCGGCGCGGTGGCGACGGACGTGGAGATATGCCCCGAGCGCGGGCTGCTCCTCGTGTCCGTCTCGGGCGAGGTGCTCAACATACGTACAGCGCGGGTCGGCCGCCGCACCGACGCCGGCCGCGTCCTCGCCTTTGAGAGCGTACGCCGCTCGGCGCCGCGCACGCCAAAGCCGCTGTGGCAGGTGCAGGTGGGCGCGTTGCCAGACATGATCTCGCCGAACCGCGACTGCTCGCTCCTCGCGGTTGCAAACGAGGGCGAGGGCGTGTACGGCGGCGTCCATAGCTCCACCGGGACAGGCGGCGTCGCGACGGGCGCCGGCCTCGTGATGTCCCGACGGCGCCAACCCGAGGTTCCCCGAGACACGGCCGAGATCACACGAGATTAGGCGGCGGCCTCGTCGACCCCGACGGCTCCGTCTCTCTGATCCACCTGCCAAAGCAAGGGCCGCCCTCCGTGTCAGAGGTGCGGCGGGTGGCGGGCGGCGAACGCCGAACTAGTCCCCCCCTCCCCCCTTCAAACTGACGAATTGTGGATCCGAGGTGCGGCTCGACGCTCTCGCGCCGAGCGACGAGCACCCTAATTAGCTCATTATTCATCAATCCCAGGTGCGGCTCGCGGCGGCTCGGCGCTCGTCGCCCGCCCCAATTCATTACTGCTACCACCCCCAGGTGCGGCTCGACGCTCTCGCGCCGAGCGACGAGCACCTGATCGGCCTCGGAGTGCACCTGCCCCTCCCCCTCGGCGCGATGGAGCACTTCGACCTCCACTCGGCCCGCCACAACAGACACGGTGGGACGCTCGACCTCGGCTCCGCGCGGCGCGCGTACCGGCCCGTCTCTCAGCTCGAGCCAGAGTACCTGGCCTGGTCCGCCGACGGCTCGAAGGTCTTCGTCAACCTGCAGGAGAATGCCGCCATCGTGACGGTCGACGTTGCGACCGCCACCGCCGAGCGCATCTCGCCGCTGGGCTTGACGGACTGGTCTGCGGCAGGAGGCACGGACGGCATCGACATCGTCGACGACGGCGCCTGCAGGCTGCAGCACTACGACGGCCTCTTCTCGATCAACTCGGCAGACACGATCGGCAGCTTTGAGGTGGACGGCGAGGTGTATGTGATGGCGGCCATGGAAGGGGACCGCGTCCGGTACGGCGACTTCAAGGAGGACCAAAAGCTGCGGAGCGTCGTGGCCTCCAACGCCTCCTTCGGCAAGAACTTCGCGGCCTTCCGCGCGCCCGACGGCGCGCTGCAGCAGGTCTCCGACATATAAACGCACAACTCCGGACCCAAGACGCACAAGCACAGACAGTCGAGAAGGGGGAGAGACAGCAACGACAGTCAGAAGTCAGCGCTGGGTCCCAGGAAGGCGAATGCGATGACGGCCTCTAGGTCTTCGACACCTTCGGAGAGAGCAAGCTGCGTGTCTCGATCGGCAGCTCCGGCGTCGACTACTCGGACCCGACCTCGCCGCGCCTCGAGCGGGTGGTCGCCTTCTCACTCCTCTCGGCTCCCTCTCTCACTCCTATATCTCGGCTCCACTCTCGGCTCCACTCGGCTCCCTCTCGGCTCCTCTCGGCTCCACTCGGCTCCCTCTCGGCTCCTCTCGGCTCCACTCGGCTCTCCCTCTCGGCCACATCTCGGCTCCCTCTCGGCTCCTCTCGGCTCCACTCTCGGCTCCACTCGGCTCCCTCTCGGCCACCTCTCGGCTCCCTCTTGGCCACCTCTGGGCTCCCTCTCGGCTCCACTCGGCTCCCTCTCGGCTCCCTCTCGGCTCCTCCTGGCTCACCCCGGCTCATCGCATCGGCCCCAGGTGGTCGCCTTCGGCGCCCGCGGCGTGTCAATCTACTCCGCGCGAGACATGGCGCTCGTGTGGAGCTCCGGGTCGCTCCTCGAGCGCGAGGGGTGCGCCGCCTTCCCGTGGGCGCACAACGGCGAGCAAGACGAGGAGTACGCGGCGGTGCACGGCGTGCTGTACAACGCCACCTCCGACGAGGGCCTCAAGGAGGACATCGAGGACAAGAGCAACCCCAAGAAGGAGGGCTGCGATGACGGCGGCGACGGGAGGCCGGGCGCGTGTCCGCTCGGCGAGACGGTGGACCGCCGCTCGACCAAGGACGGCGCCTCGGCGGAGGCGCTCGCGTTGGGCGTGGCGTGCGGCCGGATGATCGCAGTCACGGCGACGGAGAAGGGCGGCATCGCGTTTGTCTTTGACGTCTCCGACCCGGGCTCGCCCGTGCTGCTCTTCACGCATCACCTCTCGCCGGCCCGCTCCCTCCCTCGCCGCTTCCCTCTTCGCCCCCTCCTCTTATGCCGCCTTCTCTCTCCCCATCCCCGCTGTCGGCGCCCCATCCTTCGCCTTCTTCTCCCGTGCCGCTCCCTCCCCTGCTGCCTCCTCGCCCACCGCCTCCTCCGTCGCCACCTCCTCCGGTACTGCCCCCTCCTCCTCAGCCGCCCCCTCCCCCCGCAGGCGTCGCGGCACGCCAACCCGACCGTGGCGTACGCCTATGGCTACCTCGGCGACATCGACTCGGAGACCATCCTTTTCCTCGACGCGTCGCACTCGCCGACGGGCGCCGCCGCGGTCATGTTTGCGGGCGCGTGGTCGGGAACCATCTCCCTGTACGACCTCCGCATGGCAGACGGCTCCCGCTGCACGTCGCTCGTCGGGCCGACGGCGCAGGGCGACGCGCGCGGCGACGGATCGCTCGGCGCGGTTGGCAAGCCCAGTCCGCATCCCTCGCCGACCGCGGCGCCAGTGCCGGCGCCCCCGGTGGTGGCAGCGCCGCCGACAAGCTCGCCTGGCATAGAAGCGCCGTTTGCCTTTGGCGCCGCTGCAGTCGTCCTTCTGGTCTGTGCCGCGTACGGTTGCGGCACTTTCCTCGGGCTCGGGTGCCTGCCCCAGAGTCGGGCGTGGACGAGGATGGAGGAGCCCGTCCGCCCAGAGATTCTCCAGCCCGCCAAGTGAGCGCGAACTTCCGGGCGGCACAACCGACGCCCCAATGGCAGCAATGATCTCAGTAGCACGTACAGTACCGGGGACTGACGTATCGAAAGGGTGTTCCTGTCATCCTGTGTAGAGTGTAGTTCGCGGCACTTGATTGAGATACAGTACGCGGCACGCACTCACGCGGCATGCCACGCGCGGCTTCTCTGGACTCTCTGGGGTGTCTCTCTGCACACCGCTGCGGCGCTGGTCTCAGGTCTGTCTCTGTGGTCAGACCTCGCCTGTAAGCTGTATCGTACTGCTGCTCGCACACCGCACACGACAGTCGGACGACAGGCATGTTGTGCGAGTATATGGGACACGATGTCTCAAATATGAGGGGTTTTGACTCCTACCGGCTCCTGACGCTATCCCTGGCAGCTCTAATGACCAGGATCAGTAGTGCTATGATAGAGGGTGCCCATACTAGCGAAGGAGCTGCCACACTCGCCCGGAACGTCCCCTTCTGGGGCCGGTTCTGCAGCCCGCGAGAGCCGACAGCGGGGCCGTGCCGCGGGTGCCTACTGCCGAGTGCCACAAACACTGCGCCGTCCCGCCATCACCTACAGGCTGTCTTGTGTGATGGTTGGGATGTCCAAACGCCACCATCTTGGCTCTTGCGACCTCAAACCCGCGAGCTGTATGGGTGGTCCTGACGTCGACAGACGCCCGATGACCACGGTGAAGCTGAGCCGGAACGAGTCGACAAGTCTCGTCTGAGCCCGTGGCGGTCGCCGGCTGAGTCGCTGTGCACGGGCCGGTACCTCAGGCGTCACCTCCGTAGCCTCAGGTCTCACACTCCATCACCTCCGCCGGGACGCCGTCGGTGGCACGCTCGGCGGCGAGTTTGTGGCAGCCCCACAGCGAGCGCGGCGTCGAGCCTAATCGGTCTGGTCGGTCGGCCGCACTCACCGGGTGCCAGGGAGTGCGGCCGACACTCGAGCGGTGCTTCCCGGCAGCGCGCGCCGGCTGTGGGGCTGCCACAAACTCGAGACACGCTTTTTGGGACATTTTCGACGCTTTTGTCCCATATACTCGCACAACATGCCGACACACGACCACGGCCGTTGCGCGTTGGCCCACGCACAGTGCGCTTTGCCAAACTGCCTCGCTGGAGGGCCAGAGGCTCTGCAAACTGCACATACTTTGCACGAGCCCGAGATTGGAGATATGCCGAGGAGCGCGATCTCGGGCCGCGCCGCGCAATCTCGGGCGATCTCGCGCTATCTCGGTCGATATCGGCGCTGCGCCGAGCTATCTCGGGCGCCGATGCAGGGCTCCCCGATCAGTTCCCCGTGAATGGAGGCGTCGGCCAACTCCGTTCGGTCGCCCACCTCCTCAGCGCTCCTGCGCGAGCCGTTGCTCAAGTCCTCCGGAAGCAAGGTGACCTTGAGGATCGCCTCCTCCTCCTCGCAGTCCAAGCTGCCCAAGATCGACGACGAGGAACGCGCAGCAGCAAAGTCGTTCGTCCAGCAGCTGCGGCAGCTGCCGAATGAGGTGTACGTGGTCCTTCTTGTGGATTTCTTGAACTCGTACAGGTCCTTCGGGTTTCGCGCCGTGCAGTACCAGTACCTCACAAACGTTTTTGGCCTCTCGGATCTCGAGGCGGGCTCGCTACTTGGCATGCAGGCATGGCTGCTCGTCGTCTTTGGCATCCTTGGCGCGATGCTCGTCGACGCCTTTGGTGTGCGCGCGACGGCGCTGAGCGCGCTGAGCGTGTCCGTCGTCTCGCGTGGCTTGCTCGCGTTTGGCCGCTCGAGGGAGACCATGACCTTCGCGCTCCTCGGCCTCTCACCCTGGGGAGGCGGTGCTCTCCACCAGCATATACACGGTCGCCCTCAAGAAACTCACGACCCGTGCCAACCGCGCGTTCGCCTTTGGCATCCAGTACGGCGTGTTCAATCTGTCGGGGGCGCTCGCGGACGTTGCCGCGGACATGCTGCGTCCTCACGACTTCAAACTGCCCGACTGGCTCCCCAGGAGCGTCCTCGGAGGCTACACCCACATGTCCGGGCTGCGTGTGCACGTGCTTGTCACCTGGTTCGCCGTGCTCGCGGCGCTGGCGGTCGTGGTCCCTCTGCTCTTCGACTCGATGGTCGTGCCGACGGAGGAGACGGATCGGCCAGAGGGCCGCGCGGCCGCCGCCTTCCCGACCAGCTCGTCTGGCGGCTACTCGTCGCCACCGCCCTTCACCCCGGCCGAGCTCGCCAGCCTTCGAGATCGGGCGACCGCCGAGGAGCGGACGCGCGGCTTCCTCATTGCGAGAGCTCCAAAGGCGAAGCCGCCGCTGCCGTCGCTCGCCCCGAGCCCAATCTTTGGGCGTGCCAACGTGGAGGCCCTCGAGAAGGCCACCTCGCCCAAGTCTTGGCTAGCGGCCGCCAGCGCGTCCCTCTTACGAGCCGCGGAGAATATCCGCGACCTCTGCGCGCTGCGTGAGTTCTGGCGGGCGCTGTGGCTCTCGATCTGCCTGATACTGCTCTCGAAGCAGTGGGGTGACATGGACCAGCTACTTCCGGCCTTCCTCGAGCGCCACTTTGGCGTCAACTCGCCGATCTTCACCATCCACAGCATCAACATGTGGGTCTGCATGGTCGGGCCGAGCGTCGCCGCCTCCCTCACCGCGCATCTCGACGACTTCCGCGTGATGCTGCCGGGGATGTGGCTGATGGCCTTCTCCCCCGTCTGGCTGGCCTACGACCCGGGCATCCCGGCGTCCATCACGTGGGTGTTCCTCCTCTCCGTCGGCGAAGTGATCTGGTCGCCGCGCCAATCGGCGTGGGTGGCCAACTTGGCACCCGACGGACGAGAGGGAGTCTTCCTCGCCCTACTCTCACTCAAGACGCTGGTGACCGCGCTGCCGAGCACCATGCTCAACGGGTGGCTGAACATGCACTTCCAGCCCAACTGCGAGTCGTGTCGCGACACGATCGGCCACTTCTGCTCCGAGTCACTCAACATCAGCGCGGGCGACGCGCAGAGCCTCGGCGTCAACACCGCCGTCCCTATGCACGCGTGCCGCGCCGAGGAGAGCGGGCACCTCTGCGTCGGCGGCGACTTCAGCCCACGCCTCGTGACACCCCTCGACTCATCATCGTTCCTGCAGTGCCCGAGCACGTGCGTCGAGTGCCCCGGCTGGGAGAGCCACGCGTCTGAGATGTGGTTCATCGTTCTCATCTGCTCCATCTCGTCGCCCCTCATGGTCTCACTCAGCCTCAGGTTCCTGCGCGGCGAAGACGACAAGGCCACGTCAGCGTGTCGTATAGAATAGAGGCCGCATGTCTCTTTGCCTAGGTTCCGTCGGCTTCTAAGAGGTCCCGATGTCTTTTGGGACCTACTACGATAGTATTTGTGAACGCAACAAAAAGAAGACAAAAGAAGACAGATGTTACTTGGTCTGATTACTCCAGGCTAGTTCCAATTCACTCTGACACGCTAATCTTGAAAACGCGTCCAACGGAGCTCCGAGTTGCTCCCAGCGGAATCCCCCGCGCTTCCTGCGGCCATGGCCGATGATACTAGTATGAGAGGTCATCTGGCTACCGCGAGCGCGACTCAACTCGCCGACATCGTCCGATGATTGTGCCTCAAAGTCAGCCTCCGGAGGCTATCGTGGGGTCGAGCCGGCGGTAGCCGTGACATGTGGTTCCACCACCCCTCGCAGGCTTTGCCTCTGACCGCCACCGTTCCCAGGCTGCCTAATGGGATGGAAAGGAAGGCTGGGCGAGCGTATAGAAGCGTGCTCGACCTCGTCGTGGCAACCTGCACGGCAGCGCTGGTAGGCGCGATGAGCGTCGTGCCACCTGACCCAAGACGGGTCGCAGGCGTCGTACCGAGCGTGTCGAGACCGTGCCCTGATGTGATCTGCACGGGTGAGTCACGTCGGCGTCAAAGGAGCGACGTGCGACCTGTCAGAGCTTGATCTCCGATCTCAGCGGCGTCGAGTCGTCTCCGGCGCGCGACAAAGGTACATACCCAGGGCGCGGTGTGCGCCCGTCCACTCGGCGGGGTCGCAGCTGCCTCTGGACGGCACCGAGATGTACCTTTTTGCGCAAATGGTCAAATCAAGGTTTTGTAACGCGAGCTGTGCCACAGTGAAATGGAACTAGCCCCAGAGTAAAGCCTCTCATCGTTGCCCTTCGGCGTCATCTCCTCCGCCAACGCCGACACCGTCGATATGCTCTGTTCGGTGCCCGTGTGATGGGCTGCTGCACAAAGGTAAAGGTAAAGGTACAGTGATGAAAAAATGAACTCTCGTAGCTCCGTAGTGGGCCGTACGGTCCTATCTAATCGATGTTGTTTCGTTGATCTGTCGAGATCTCAGTCAAACTTGACAGACAGACGATCGATCAAACTCGGCGGTGTCTATAAACGCCCTCGTTGTAGCAAAAGTTGATGTACTACCTGTATGTATCACGCGTGGTATATGAGTCTCATCATAAATGAGCGATCGCAACCAACCACAAACGAGCTCATCATCATGATGGGCAAACCCCGCAAAGTGACCCGTTTTTACCCACCCACGCCCGTGCGCGCGTATCTTAGCTAGGTACGCGGCCACACGCGCTGGCGCGCACGGCAACCGGGACTTACACGCGCGACACGAGGGACTGTGTATCCGTGCCTGCCTCGGGGGAGAATAGCCGCCCTCACCCGCTGCCGCGCATCGAGCTCGGCGGGGCTGATACGTGTCATTCTGTGCCGGCGCGTATCTTAGCCAAGATACGCGGCCACACGTGCAGACGCGTATAGCGGTACTCGCGCCCACACCCGTGCAGCCGCCTATCTTGGCCAACATAGGCGGCTGCACTCGCAGCCGCGTACCGCGTGACATACACGCCCACGCATGGGGCGCGATGTTCCCCTAGATAGGCGCCCACACGTGTAGCGGCGTATCTCAACATCCCTCTGTGCACGTGCCAGCGCGAGTCGCCTTCGCCGACGGGCCGTTTCACGCGCTCACGCCCGCCTGTGCGGTGACTTTCTCGCAGCCCGTGGCCGCTGCTGACAAACCTACTGCTGGTGGTGGTGCTCCGCGACCTCCAGTGGCAGCGCAATCTACAGCTGCGAGGGTCTGCTCAACGAACTCGGGATAGCCGACCTCAGTACGTTCGAGGCTTTGCTCTTGCACGATACAGGCGCGGTGGCTGCTCGACGCGATCCGAAGCACCGCTGCAGCCGCAGAGGCTGGTGCGGCGGCTTATGCCAGCTCGGCCACGAGCAATGTTGTTGTGTCCCCAAGCAGCGCTGATGTAATCTCCGCGGAGCACAAGGGCAGCTTCTCCCGCACTCTCGTCAGCACAGACGCGCAAACCACGCTAAAGGGCTCGGACATCCATGCAGCTGTGAGTAGTGCGAGTGCTGAGATGCTGCTCCGGCAGGAGTTGGAAGAGAAGTTGCGGTCACAGACCAAGGTGTCGCTTCTGATCAGCGCTCTGCGGGCGCTGTGAAGAGGGCGCTCGCGTCGGCGCGGGCTGAGAGCTTGCTGCGGCACAAGAGCTGAGGCGCTCCGACCGCGACAACCTGAGGACAGCGCAGCAGGCTGCTAAACGCGACATCAAAGCGGCCGAGCGGATGGCCGACGAGGTAAAACACGCAGCTCGAGCTGATTTTGAGAGGTGTATCGGCGAGATGCGTGCCAAGATGCAGGCTGAGCGGCTGCGCGAGCAGCTCGACGCGCTGCAGATTTCGATGGAGGCAGAGGCGAGGCGCGCTGATGCCGCAGCTCGAGGCGGAGAGGTCAAGGCGCTGCACAACATCAACAAGATGGAGGGGATTATGCATATTTTCCTCTACTTATACACATATTTTGGGCCAATATAGTGTTAGTGACTTCTAATTGTTAAGAGATAATACGCGGACGTCGGAGACGAGAAAAATGTGAGCCGGCTGCGCTCGAACAGCCGCTCGTAATCAATACACATAGAGTAACGCGCGCCAGCGAGAGCGGAGATGCAGCGTTTGCGTGTGGGCCCGTACGGCTTTATCGCTGCGGCCCCCCGCAACCCGCCAAGCCAAAATGACACAGCGCCGCCACCGCCGCTCCCCGCGTTTTCCGGACGCTAAGTGGGCGCAAACGGTCACGTCGCCCCCATCTCCACCGCCATGCCGACCGCCTCGCCTGCTCGCTCGGCCGACGCACCCGTCGGAGCCTCCTGCTGCCTCGCCGCCTGGCCGCCCGCGCCACCCTGCCCCGCAGCGCCCGGCTGCCCCGGCTGCCCCGGCTGCCCCGCCGCTACCGCCGCCGGATCGAGGGGCGGCGCCGGCGCCGGCGCCGCGCTGCCCGCGCCCGCCGCCGCCGCGTCCACCGCGCCGCGCAAGGTGGGCGCCATCGCGTAGCCCCCGTCCGGCGTCGGGACGAGGTAGGCGGACGGTGCCGCTTGCCCCGCCGCTTGCCCCGCCGCTTGCCCCGCCGCTTGCCCCGCCGCTTGCCCCGCCGCTTGCCCCGCCGCTTGCCCCGCCGCTTGCCCCGCCGCTTGCCCCGCCGCTTGCCCCGCCGCTTGCACCGCCGCGGACGCCTCGCCAGCAGAGGCCGCGCCCCGCTCTGCGGAGGCCTCGCTGCTCCGCGACGCGCCGCCCTCTGCGGAGGTCGACGCCGACAGCCGCGGCGCCTGCGAGCGAGGCGCCTGCCACCGGCGCGACACGAGCAGC